CAGCACATGGGAGTTCTTTCTAAGCTTTCTTTGATTTTAGAGTTTCATTCTAGTCCTGGTAATTGAAATTTAGTTTTCTGTCATACACTGAGATAATGAATGTACTTATGCAAACCTCTGCATACATGTACACTTTTGTTTGGTGCATATTCGCAGTGTCAGGTCGGCCAGAACCGACCGAAAATAAAATAATGGTGTTGTTTACTGACGTGATTATTAGTCCCTGCTCGGACAGAACAGGAACTGATGGATTGACCTCCACGCGTACATTAGTATGTTTTACTTCTGTCCTCTGGATATGCGACAGCATTCAAACTTCACACACACATCATATACCTTGGGATGCATATCAATTGTTTCATGGTTTTGATTCAAATGGAGGCCATATTTCATCGAAATCGAGCTATTCCGGAACTCTGTAGTGTATGACTGGATTTTGTTTAATGTACTGTACATACATTGGATTATTATTTTTAAGATAATGTGTATATATATATATAGAAGGTATGGAAGATATATATATACCCTAAGAGTTTAAAAACGGTGCACATTCGGTCAATGGGCGTCACTATTTTGTTGTTTCATGAACTATGGAAAGCGAATCAGCTCGTTCATGATTCATTTTCTGAATTTTGTTCAAAGATAAGGCACGGTCAGTAACAGTGGTCGCACATATGCATGACAATTTGTTTGTAATGACTTGTACGTGTCCCCACCAATAATAATACAACTTACAGGCAACCTAGTACTGATCAGTGAGTGACATTTGATATCAGTTATTCGCATGTTAATTGTTGGCAAAAATGTATTGATGTCACAATAAGACCGACTATAACAAGGACCTTGAATTCAGGGATTTGTAATTGCATGTGGTAAAAGATAGACAATTTCTAAGAAATCATGATATAGTTTATTTGTTCAGTAGGACAGGATATTAAAAACAAATTATATTAGACTTTGTCAGCGTGATAGAATTTAAAGCGTATAAAAATTGAAATAAATCTTTTCTTGCATAATTTAGCTGAGTTCATGACATCTTGAGTCCCTTCTTTTTGAGGTCAGCTTTTGCTTGCATGATCTCCTGAAAATAAATAAAATTAATTTTAAACTTAAAAAATAAATACTTAGGCAGAAAAAAAGGTTTTTATTTCTCGCCATCAAACGTGACAGTTTGAAACTCGCAGGTGAGAAATAAGCCATTTACAGTAGAGTGGGGAATTGTTTCAAAGTACGTTTTTGTTGATCCAAACTTTTAATGCATGTATTTGAAAGCAATATTTAATTAATGTTAAACATACATTGTATTTGATTAATTTTAAAGATGCAATACGCACGAAAACATAATTTTTAGTATTGTCGTTTGTATATTGCTGACTACATTGCACTATGATTTACATGATATGAAAACACTGTTCTTGTAGCACACATCTGAATATTCATTCAATGAAATTTGTTGATACACAATGACATATACACTGGTTGTTTTGGTATATACAATAACAATCACTACACATGTGTCTTTGGTGGGTTTAATTTTCAATTGAGCGAATCCGGTTGTGTGTCGTGTAATCACAACATTTTTAATTTATGACAAATCATAATTCGATTTGGTCTACAGTATGGAGTGTCAGCAACGAGATCAAAAAATATATGTTTTTGTCTATATTGCATTAATGAAAAAAAAAAATTGCAACTGCTTTAATATATAAAATTTGCATAAATGTTTGTACAATATGTTGATATACCGTAATTTCAATTAGAAACACACAGGTTTTTATGTAAATAACTTGTTAAGTGAGCATGAATGGATCCATGAGATTTTGGTGTTCTTAAAATCTCACTCAAACGCACATCTTGGGCTAATATGCACGTCTAATAAAGAATATACGATATACAGGAATTTGGGGTTAGATTTTGATTTAAAAAATTAATCATTGAATGACAGTGATGTAGATAATTATTCTGAATGATGGTTAACACTAAGAATAACTGGTTACAAGTTGGATTACTGTGTTTTAAACACTCTTAAAAAATGTACATATTTGTAGCCAGTCAACGAGGTACTGAATTTTATGTACATCTACTAAATGAACCTAGTACTTTTTAAAACATGTGTGGCATATCTCAATAACTTACATGAGGATAAATTACAAATTAATAATTAATGCAATACAATAATCATGACAAAACATGATAGTTCATAAAGCCCTATGTGATTGCTTTGAAAAATTCATATATTCATGTGGCATCACAGAATCTTTTTTCATAATACACAGCAATGCTAGGTGACGTCACGTTTGTATTGAATGAAATTTGATCAAATACTGATACAATTTTATTTTAGTCACCAATAAATCAAGATCTCAATAAGTGAATCAATATATAAATTCACAAAGACGACGACGTACAATCACTCATATGATGAGCTCCGTTCAACAGCAGAACTAAAAATTGGCAGTGTAATATGGTGCTATTAGGCATACTAAAGCCAACAAAAAAAAGGTTGTGGTACTTTTCTTAGGGAGAATTGAAAAACGATGCAGTGACCAGGTTTTATTTTTTTTTATATTAAGATTAAAATGCTTTTCCGAATTAAAGCTTGATTTGGATCAACAAATATTTCACCATTCCACCATATATGTAGTGCGCTTTTCCGGAATAAATACTTTTATCCTTGGAGCATCTACTGAATATATCAAGTTAAACTTGAAAGCATCTACCCTGTTAAAGGACCAAATTCATGGGACACATTGAACAAGATGCTGCATGCAACTATGGTGCTTCAAATTGTGTCCTATGACCAGTTCTAACTGGTTCTAACCAGTTCTGACTTTCAAATAAAAATAAACATGGAGATATACAGCTCTGCATACATGGGCATACATTTTATGTACTTGTTGACATTTTGCATACATACATGTGACAGATTGAGGAGAACTAGTCGTTGGCACCCCACAGATAAAATTGAGGCATAGTTCACTGCTGCTTTTATTACATGTTTGTGTCTTGGTTAATAAAAAACAACTTATTGGCAGCATTGTCACAGCAGATAGTGCTGATCTATGAGTGAATGTTTTTATCAGAAATTCACATTCCTGTCAGTCTATACATCACATGGGACACACTGAACAAGATGCTGCATGACGACTATGGTGTTTCCAATTGTTCTCTATGACCAGTTCCGACCAGTTCTGACAAGTTGTTAGGACTAAATTTACCTCTTTTAATTCTTCAGCAGCTTCCACACAATCATTAAAAGTTGCGGTTCTATATCCAACAACCGCTAATGCGTAACACTGTATGTGACAACAACAAAAAACACAAAGAATGAGTACAATTTATTTCCAGGTTCATTTTAAAAGTAAGAAGCAGTCTCACTAATGGTATAACATGTTTTGAACTTTTGATGAATGAATAGTCTTCAAGTTCATGATTGCCTCAAAGTGATTGCGAAAGTGCTATAATTACATCATGAATATACTGCACAGGTATTATATTCTCATTTGATATTGCATAAGTTGTAGAAAAGTTACACAACATACAATACTCACCCCAAAAGCTATTACTAGGTAAATGGGAAGCTGTAAGAGTAAAAACAAGAGATTTCTACAGTTATTTCAGGATGACATTGAACTTGACGCATCATCACTTACATCACGTTTAAACAGCAGTGGTTGATACAATGCACATTATTACGGGTTATATACAACATTATCCCAATATCGTCAGTGATAGTTATTGCACCCTCGCCGATATGGAGTTCATGAAGCCTTAGTTGATGTAAATAAAAAAAAAACATTATACACTGGGGGTATATTTGCTCATAATGTGTGCATTTATTTAAATGACAAAAGTGTGTCTGTGTGGTCAAAATAAGTCATTATTAGGATATAAAGCTACAGTCTACAGAGTCTATACAGTCTGAGAAAATTACAGAATAAACCACATCATTCGCATGCTGGACGATACACACAATTTAATACAGCGTTATGACTTTTTACTCTGAAGTACAGTCTGCCCTGCCTTATAAACACACAGTATCAGGTTTAAAAAAAAAAAATTGAATACTCAGTATATAAAATATCTTTTTGAAAAGCAGTTCCACACCCCCTTGGCTATTACCAGGGGTATCACCAATTTTTTTGTCACCAGGGTGATTGACATCTTGAATTGTGCTTCCTCAGGCAACTCTAATAAATAACTTTTCTAAACCACATCCTTATTAAAAATTCATAGAAATTTGGAAGAAAATCAGTAGTTAGTGGAGCCACAATGTTTTTTTTTTCAAGGGCAATAAGACTCAATTTTCAAGGATGCATGTCATTTGGAGTTTGTTGCATGTCTAAAAACATAGAAACATTGTTCTTTGGTGATTCTGGGAAATCTCCTTAGACTACCGGTATTTAAATAAAACATGTTTACATGTCAATCCTTAAATTTTAACAATTCTTTATTTGAACAACTCCTGTATAAGGTTGGCCTCAACATTCCAATCATATCTTGAGATTAAGCCTTCTGTAATGTTATGTACATATTTTGTTTGTCCATGTACCGGTATGTTATATACATAAAAGTAAATAAATATCATAAAAAACAAACAAAAAACATTCCAATTCTTAAATTGTAGCAATTTTTATTTCACTAAACTAAATGTATGACACAAACTTGACACCTCATTTATAAATATATACTTACTGGAAGTACAACTTGATATATTCTTTGGTCAAAACTAACAGGTACAAGATCAAAAACTATGGATGCCCATACACTGAAAAATAGACTGAGGCCTGTAAGCCACTGAACTAACTTTGTTGCCATACTACAATTAAGTCTGTAAGAAATAAAGTACAATAACATGTTAAATAGAATCTGCAGGAACTTCAAATTTGTAAGAAAGAATAATCATTATTACTTATTAATCAGTCGCCCATAGAGTCAGCAAGGCACTGTATTCCTTTACTGTGGTATATATAACTATCCCAATAAACTTTCTAGGTTTGAAGAAATTAGGTAGAAATTCAAAATATTGGAATGGAACAATATATTCCAATCAGAAGACTACCTATTACCTATTTCCCCATGTATTAATAACAGAGGTGATGTTTTTTTATGTTTTTTTTTTTTTTTATTCATTTTTAACATTGGTAACCCCCCACTCCTCAGTTTGCTGATTGGCTCTTCTATACAATATGATAAATTTTCATTTGGAACATACCAAAGAAACCTTGAGTAAAGTTAAAAAAAAAAAAAAAACATTCAGGAAAACAAAACTTATAGAAGTAAAACATATCAAGAATATAAAAAAATATTGCGAAAATGCTATGAATGAAAGAATCATTACTTGAAATAATATTAATTAAGACAAGACATGACATGTCATGTCATGTCCCCGCTCAGAAAAAAATTTAAAAACTTATATTGAACTTAGTTTGTGTCAGAGTGAATCAATTCATTATGAGCTGTATTAAAATTCTGTTC